AAGGACCTTGCTACGATCCTTATTGGAGAGGAGTTTCAATGGGGGCCACTCTAAGAAAGCCTGGCGACGACTTCGAAATCCTGTACTGACTTCCCCTCTCCTATGTATATAAACAGCCTTTGTACTGGAGCGTGCCAGGGAGGCTGGGTTGGCGCGGCGCTAGCCAGATCTCCACTAATTGTTGAAGCAAGGTAAGTTACAACAACTGACTGGCGGGCTGGCGCCTCGCCAAACGCAGATTTCCTGCCGTGTCTTAGGATCCGCAGAACAAAACTTCGAGTGCTTTCTCTCGTCTGGACCCTTGTAAGTACGCTCCCAGCTAGCCACTTGCAAATCCCCCTTTAGGCCCTCAGCTACGGTTACACAAAGACTTGCCATTAGATTGTCATGTGAAAATATAAAAGCGGAAACATACATACATTGTAGGATTTCTTGGTGTGGACATCCTCGTTCACTCTAACTCGACCACCGAGAATCAGTTTCTCCACCTGCCTGGAAAAATTCGACTAAGATTCCTTCTCAAAGCATTCTGGCAAATGCGGTGCAGTTCATCACACAGATAACTAAGGCAATACCCTCTGACCGTGCTTTAGCATTTCAGTTTAATAAACCCCAATAACGTAGCGTTCACACATCTCGATCGACTCCATTCACGTTGGCGTAAACCGCAACAATAATTAGGCGCAATGATCGTTTTTCTAATCTATGACAAGAAAGTGGAGGAGCGTGCTAGTGCGGAATGGTGGGGAGCTAACTCCTTTTGCCACGCCTATTTCGCCGCTACCTGCAAGTAACGCTCTGCACTCGGTAATAGAGCTCATTAGTTCCCATGCTGTATCCGTAGTATTGGTAACGCTTGCTCCAACTGCACTAAGATGCTGCACACATCGTAATCTTCACAATCAAATTGTTAAGAGAACACTTACGCACTGCTCTTTTCCACTGGCACGATTCACAAATGTATCGAGTCGTCGACTTCCAGCTTTCAGCGTTTTCAGCTTGTAATCTTTCGGTAGGCCATCATCTCCAAGTTCTTGGCTTCGAGCGAGAATACTAGGGTGGATAAAACGACACTGAGCACTGTGCCACCGAACTGCTGCTGTCAGCCGGTTCATTACGCTTACACTCATTTCCTGGGTTCACACTGTGGTTAAACATGGAAACAGAAAATGAAGATAATGCTGTGCAGAGAGCGAAATTCAGAGAAATGCAATAGTTTGAGAAATAAGACCGAGAGACATACTCGAATTGAATAACCAAAGCAATCTGAAGGAAATTTATTATTAAATCTCACACGCTCTACCCGTAGAACAATTAGAAACATCCGGAATGAAGTTTGTTGTGGAAATGTGACTCGAAAGAGAACTCGTGCAAGGTGGCATTTAACAACCATAACAAACTTAATAAATTCAAATTGAGGATGCGAAGTAGGGAGCAAATCGGTGTATTACGAAAAAGCACTGGAAGCAGGGCACATCCTGGCGTTGGAAAGGATTCTCGCTGAAAACGATTCCCCCCCCCCATCTCCGCCCACCACGTTTCTCCTCGGTATGATCATCGTATCGTACTTTCCCAAGAATGTGCCTGAAGCGGCATCCACGCCCCTGATCATCCAGTGTGGGGGCGGGAGGGCGGGGAAACGTCACAAGACAGCCGACCCGGATGCCGTCAACCCAACATGCGGCGTTGCCCAGTTGAAAGACACAGAAACATCGCAAGTAAGGTGGTGCCGCCTCCTAATATATACAAAATTGTCGAGAAAAACAAAACGCTAAATTAGCATTCAAAATACTATGTCGACGGCAAAATCTTGAACAAGGTGCAACAAAAGACATGCGATCTAAAAATCACAGAGAATCTCGTCGTTTTCAAAGCTCTAAATTACTACAAAGAAAGCTAGTACATAAGACCTGGCTGATAGCTGACGGCGTGTAGCATTTGTTCCCACCTCGCCTACACAACGCCGCCGAATATTGCCGCCTGCCGCGCACGACCTGACATCCGCGTGCACACCGGTAAACACTGGGAGAATCGAGAGACTGCCTGAACGAAAAGAAGCCCATAGTGTCGATGGGAGAATTGGACACCGCCGCGAAGAACTATCAGATACGTAAACCAATCAGCTTCTATCTGTCGAACCGCGGGCCCCAAATTTTCAATCCTTACGAGATTCTCCACTTGCGACCCAATCAATCCGTTTACCTATCTTTTTTAGCATAACATCCGGATCTCCCACATGCGCGACAGTTACGAACGACTTCCAGCGCGGCAATTTTTTATTTATCTATTCGGGGTATATCTTTTTGAACGTCTCTTTCCTTTTATCTTCTCTCCTCTTTTTTTGTTTTTTTTGTTTTTTTTATTTTACTTTTCCCTTATTTATTTTTGTTCTCTTCCAAATATACCTTTTACTAGATCATTGCTTTATTGTCGACTATGACTGTATTGTCTTTGATGTCGTGTTCTGTCTATGTCTGTGCTAGTTTTTTGTGTTATATACTTAGTTTTATATGAAGGTGGGATAGTTGGCCTCCTGAGCGCCTGAAGGCACGCTTACCTGTTATTCTTACTCTCTCAAAACACAAGGGCCGCGATTACCACTCTGGCTGGTTCCCTTCCATTGCCAAATGTCGCGTGTCTACGCGCGTCACCGCGAAGTCTGAACGTTGCCTACTGTCGCTTTTCAGCTACCAGCTGCAGGTTTGGAACCTCACTTCCGTGTCGCAGCATCGCAACGAGTTGACCCTGGGGATGGGGTCGACGCGCAGCGCCGCTGTCATTTGGTAATGTACGTCGAGAACAATTGTACCTGGTAAGCGTGGTAACGAATGCTACACCAGCGTAAGCTATCCTCGATGCCTCTGCTAATACATCCTGAGATCACATTCAAAACATTTTCCAACAATATGTGATACTTTGAACATGCTGACCGGGCTAGGGGCAGTCTTTAGCCACTTTCCTCTGGTAAATACCCGTGAAATTTCTTTTCACCGAGATATTTTTTCAGATGCATTCTGACCTCGACAACCTCGCCAGCACCGATCTTTTCGACGGTGTCGTCAGCAAGTGGTACGGTCATTTCGATACGCGCCTTTCCTCCCTTTCCAAAGGCGCCGACCACACGTCCTTTCTCGCCAGTGCTTAAGGATACCGGCATACCTTCGAACAGACTGATCTTCGTCTCTTTCTTGAAGAGCGAGTTGCACACAATGCTCCTCGTGTTCTCCACTCTTTCAGCGCGACCAATCCGTACTCGTCGAACAAAGCGCTGAACTTTTGGCACTTTCAAAAACTCCTCGAAATGACCATGGAACAGGAAACGACAGCCACGTCCCTGATGATCCAATTTCGAAGCGATATAGAACGCATTGGAGCGTGTATAAACCGGCCGATCGAACGTCAACCAGCAGACGCACGGTTCTTCTAATGACGCTAGTTGCTCGAATTCGCCACCATCTGGCCTCAGGAATTGGCACTCGGCCATGATAGTCTCGAAGCCGGTTGAGATGTGTACTTTCATACCCGAAGATACGGTGCCACGGTAGAAAGACACCGCTTTCACAGAAACGATGCACGATTTCATCTCGGTTAGAGTTCCTGGTGAGCAAACTGAAAACTGTAGTTTGAGCAAAAGCGGACAAATAGAAAAAATAATGATTTTCAGCTACTTCGCAACA